AAAATAAAAATAAAAATAAAAAAAATTGTTAAGAGTTCATTGTTCACAAATCTGAATCCCTCACTTGTTATAAGATCACTTTCTTTCAAGATCCTTAACATATAGAAATAAAATATATAGAAATCATATAGCAGTTAAGTTAAATAGTCTCGGGGGAGAAAAGAGTATTGGACACAGCCTTGTAGAAGAAAGGAGTTGATTCATCTTGAAGATGGAATTCCATAGGTTAACCCCTAAACAATATAAGCATTTTTGTCTAGGAAAGGAAGGATTTTCTAGTGGAAGAGATTCAGTCTCTGGTAGAATTCAAGATATCTAAGGCCTGTATTGCCTCCCCTTACCTACAGAGGAAGCCAAAGAAGTAGCACAGATATTCCTGAAAGTCAGCCAAATCAAGGGCAGCTTCCAGAAGTCTTTGCTTTCACATTCACTTTGGGTAAATTATTACATTAGTAAATCAGGCAAATTTTAGGAGCACAGGAGGGCCACTCAGCATGCTCTGCTTATAGGGGGATTCTTTCTAGACTCCTCATGACCAGTTTTCTGCCCACTCTTAGCCAGTCTGCATACAATCCTGAGCAGTGCATAGGGAAAGGAACCTTAGCCAGACCTCTTCTAGTCAAGACATAGTGCAAGCCTAGTTGTGAGCAGATGAGTGCTGCATGCACTACATTTCTTAACTTTTCTTCATATCTGCTGTGGTAGACTGTTTCTAGAGTTAGTCACAATGCTTCCCATCCCATATGCCTTTATGCAGGGTGACTTTGCCACTCTTCCTTTTAAGAGGTAAAGCTTATTTTCTCTCCTCTTGGATCTGAGCAGGCCTTTTGACTAGTTCGGCCAACAGAATGTGGCAGAAGTGATATTCTTTGAGTTTCAGAGTCTAGGCCTGAAGAGCCTTGCAGCTTGCACTGCTTTTACCTTCTTGGAGACCTGGGCCATCATGGGAGCCCATTTACCCTGAGAGAGAGAAAGAGATATCCTAGAGATTGAAAGACTTGAAAGGGAAAGGGGCCCACAGGATGAAAAGACAATAAAGAAAGAGGCCCCAACATTCCAGCCACTCAGCTGAAGGGCCAAAAGTGAATGAAGCCATCTTGGATCCTCCAGCCCAAATCAGAGTTGCCCAAGTGAGCTCAACCCTCACTACACGGAACATAGACAAGACATTCTATCTGAGGCCTGCCTAGACAATTCATGGAATCATAGGCAATTATATAATTATTGTTTAAGATACTAAGTATTGGGATGGTTTGTTGCATAACAAATGGATTACTGAAACTTCCACAATACTGACCAAATACTACTGTATTTCTTACTTGTTCTTTAGTCAAATGGTTTTTTCCTTAAGTTTTTTTCTTTTTCTTTTTTTTTAAAGATTTTATTTATTTATTTGACAGAGAAAGAGATAGCGAGAGCAGGAACACAAGCAGGGGGAGGGGGAGAGGGAGAGGGAGAAGCAGGCTTCCCGCGGAGCAGAGAGCCCGATGCGGGGCTCGATCCCGGGATGCTGGGATCATGACCCGAGCCGAAGGCAGACGCTTAATGACTGAGCCACCCAGGCGCCCCCTTAAGTTTTTTTCTTACCCAATTTTTATTATATGATCAAAAGCAAAATGTCCACTGGGGTTAGTCAATCTGTTATTAAATTAAGCATTAGAGGGGCGCCTGGCTGGCTCAGTCAGAAGAACATGCGACTCTTGATCTCAGGGATATGAGTTCGAGCCCCACATTGGATACAGAGATTAGTTTAAAAAAAATCTCAAAAAAAATAAAAG